AAACAAGTTCAAGTTCATTTAAAATGTTTTTAGGTTTGGGTCTGTACTTGATGACCTGGGAAAGTGTGTGGGAGGAACTACACTCGCTGCAAAACTCGCAAAAAACTGCATGGAAAGCGACCCATGGTGTCTGCAGATTAAAGCAGCTCATTTTAAAGTAACGAAAACACAATGATTCCTATGTTCAGGTTATTATAACCTAATAAAAATATACTTATGTTTATTATATTCAAATTGTTACTTTGGACCTTGAAATTAACAGATGCCACAACGTTCAACTGGGGTTTTCACAAGGATTTTACTTGGGTTGGGAACTGAAATTTGGTTCCAAGTTTGAACCGAATCCAAAATGCCAAGAAAGAATCAGGTACAAATAAAAACAAATTATATTAGAATATCAGTTCTTCACCTTGGGAAAAGAATAAGAAAAATAAGTTTACATGTTGTCCAAAGCTAGCTGCGTGGATAACAGACAATGGGCATGCCTCTAGCGCATGCTCCTGCGGATGTCTGGCAGTGTGCATTCAGGTCCCTGTCAGTCACAGTCACACTATACTATACAACACTACTATAGTCAATCTATAGTGTGTTGAGACTGCAGACCAGTGTGTGTGCACTATGAGTAGCTCAGTAAATATCAACACAGTAACTGAGACTGTGCAGTTAGAGTTGCAGGGTATTTATGGCCAAACAAGAAGTACAGTAAAAAAGGTAAAATATAGCTACACAAATAGGTTAAAAAGGGACATAAGATTAATTTGTGTAAATATAAATGTGTTTATTTTGTGAAAAGGTCAGCAGACTTCCATTTTCTTTACTGTGATTTATTTTGCTGTGAAACATTTTCATTGTTGTTTTCCTCTTTAATAAATAATTTTAAGAATCAGAATTGGTAACATTCAAACTACACCGAACCATAGATTTTACTCACCCTCTCCATGTTTGTCGGTGTGCTGGAAGGCTTGGACCAGGCGCAGAGTCTCATCCACAGAGCGACCCACAGGCAAGTCATTGATGGTGATCTGCCTCAAGATGCCCTTGTCGTCAATCACAAACAGACCCCTGAAAGATACAAACCTGTTACAGCTACTGTACATCCTTTAGTAACCATAGAGCCGAGTGAGTATTACATCCTACCAAGCTTCCACTAGAGTGTTACATAAGCAGTCTGCCTGACCTGTATGCGATGCCGTCGTCCTCCTTCAGCACGCCGTAGTCTCTGGAGATGGCCCTGGTCAGGTCTGCCACGAGGGGGATTTTCATGTTGCCCAGACCTCCCTGCTTCCTTGGTGTGTTGATCCTGTAGGATTAAAATGACAATATATTTAGCAAAGTGTTAACTATAAGCACACAAAGTGCCACAATGCTTCTCTTGCTTATTAGTTAATAGTTACTTAAAAACTTAAATTTAAAGAAAATCCTCATCAAGACTCAGTACATGTAGTGGTATTTTATGGATAAATGTGTTTATAAAACTAAACTGATATTACAAACAAAGGACATAGTAGCTTTCAAAGTTACCTAAACAGAACAAAGCAAATAGTCATATGGTAGTGGTGGTGAACTCCTAAGATCTAACTTAAGTAATGAATAAATATAAATACATGCATACAATCAATGAATGAAATACATGAGTGAAGATGTTCCCTAAAACCTACAATGACATCAGAACATGGTCCAAATGAGGCAAGAGTCACAAAATTTGGTAAATCTAATATTGGAAGCTTAAAACAATCCGCATACCATAACAACTGTGGTGAGTAAACGATTATGGCATTCAAATTCTTCTCAGTAGTTTGATTAACAGACCGTTACCTCTTCTCAGCATATCAGAACTTATCACGACTATGCAGAAGAAGCACAGTGGCAGGAGATAAACTGTGGTGGGCGTTGTTTCAGATCTGCCAAAACCCTCATTATTAAGCAGAGTAACTAGAAAGTGCCAACAAGAGAGGTCTGAGTTCTCATCTGATATTTATATTTTCCTACAATACAAAAGCTGAAATACATTACAAAAACATGTGTACTTTTTAAGTTGTCTAGTTCCCACTGCATGAATCACACAAATTACATTAAAAATCATTATTTCCATCAAGTCAGCAGGAATTCTCACCATGCCAAGTGACTGAAGTGAGAGTCTACGGAGCAGCCGATAACCTCGCAGCCGATACTGCGGAACTCCTCCGCCCTGTCGCTGAAAGCCACGATCTCAGTGGGGCACACAAATGTGAAGTCCAGGGGGTAGAAGAAGAAGACCACATACTTCCCTGAAGAGTGCAGAAGTAAAGAAATAAGGCATTCATTTATTCTAGTTGACCCATATTAGATACACCTGCCGAAATATTGCTGTTACTCTTTAGATTGAGGATATCAGACAGTAGAACAAAGCCTATGACAAATAACACTGTTACCTTTGTAGTCTGACAGCTTGATGTCCTTGAACTGTCCATCCACTACAGCTGTGGCGCTGAAGTCCGGGGCAGGCTTGCCAATCTTAGCGTTTCCAGCGGACATGGTGTTGTTGGAAAATGACTGAGGGAGAAACAAATAGTTACTAGAACATTCCTGATGCTCATACGCCGTCATAGATGAAATTCAGCCGGGTGGAACACAAACCTCAGGCAAGACGAGCCAAAGAACAAATATTAAGACTCAAAAGACCACGTACTGGAAGCTTAACTCGACACCCAGGGTTCTCAGCACCTTGATACACTGGTGCAATGCTCAAAAGCTGCCTCAGTTAAGCAAACCACGTAAAGTCACATGCAAGTCATGTTCAGCCTGCAGGGAACAATAGCCTATTAAGAGCTTACATAACCATGATAAGCACAAAACCATTAAGATTTATGATACTTGTTGAATACAGTTAATAAGAGGGATGCACGTATATGATTGTTTATGTCAATGTTTCAGTTTTAACCTCTGAATTTATAGAAAAGTGCAGGAGAAGAATAATTTAACACTTTAAACACAGTGTTGAGCCCTCCAGGCCTTCACAAGGGCCATACTCTAAATACTAGCTAAATACCTACAGTTATAGTTAACACGTTGTGCGTAAATAAGACAAACCATTGTGTGTTAGCGCCTGTCATAACCCAAAAGGCTAACAATCCTTTGTCATCTGCACTTCCAGAGGTATAAGCGAGGAGCTAGCACACATTGCTCGGTCAAAGTTCAGCGGTGTAGCTCGAAGCTTTACATTCAAAGTCTGACGGCGAGGGAGCATTGAGCAGCCTCTGCTGCAAGCTGCAGTACAGGGACAAAGAAAGAGCCAGAAACAGGCCCAAATACTCAGAAGAAGGAGGGAGCAACTGACCCGCACTGCCTTGTTAGCTTAACGTTAGCGTAATGTAGTAAACCGGGTTCTTTGTTGTCTTCTTGTTGCAAGATAAAGAGCTGTTAGCCCGGGCCGAGCCGTGCAGACACAATGCGAACTTCTGACACTAAAGGATCCCACAAACATACACTTTCAGACCCACCTGTTTTTACGTAAAGCCGAGAAGAAGTTGTGAGAGCGGCGGTGTGCTGCTGGCAGGAGGAGAGAGCAGTCACAGGAGGAGGACGGCTGCGGGCAAGAAGTAGGGGGGCAAGCTGTGGCCTCCGGAAGTTAAAATCACTTCCTTCAAAGTAAAAGTTCAGAGTAGATTGGATTCCGCTTAACTGACGGATGATTAGTATTAATATTTTGAATTACTAGTTACTCCTCAGGTTGTGAAATGAAAACTACAGCCGTAGATACAAAGAAACATTTATCCGAGGTGTTAAGTACCCTTCAAGCTGCTTGTCAAACTAGGCTGAACCCGGGTAGTTCAATATGACAACAAAGCAGATTTGTCTAAGGAAGTACTAATGTTTTTTTTTCCCTTCTTGGAGAGTCTCATGTAATGCTGTCGTTCTTTGTCAGAAGAAAAGGTTCCTCGGATTCTCTCTTTTGATTAACTGAACAATGTATTTCAAGCTGCTTCTCCACTTTAATACACACAGTAATGTTTTTTTTCTTATTGTGTGGTATTTCTTTCTTGTGGGGTCAAAGGTCAAAACAAGTTTTTGATGCCTGAAGTGTTGGCGGATCTCAGGGTCCAGCAAGATAATCTCTACTCTGACCACAGGGGCTTTACAGGACTGTGATTCTCTGCTGTAGAAATAAAGGCATAAAGATCCAGAGAAACAAATCTCTTTATTATTGCCTTCAGACTGCCTATGTTTGTATGTTTTTGTAGTTTGTGCCACCTCTTTGTTTCTCATTTCCTTTCCCACTACTGCTGCTCCATATAATGACTAATCTTGTTTGGCTAGTTCTTGCTCTTTTGTAACTTCTTTGTTTTTCTTAACAAGCTTATTTTCAATACAGCTCAAAAACAGTGAGTCAGAGAATGAGTAGGTACAATTGTTTGTAAAGAAATTATCAATGTGTTGGCTTGACAGGGAACTGCATGTTGAGAAGTTATTATCATTTAAAGAAATATTACAACTTTAACACATCTTACTATGGAAATAAAACTATGTTGTTAACATGTTATGCCAGTTAGTGCTAAGGAAATGTTGACATGAAATGCAAATGTATTTATTAGGGTACAGTGACAAGTGTTTAGAAAAAAAGTTGACACAGGTATAGGCTATTCCTGAATTAAAATATCTGTTCAGTTTATACCTTTAGAAACACAAAAGCAATTGCTAAAACTAAAATGTATGCTTATAATATAATGTTGATATATGATATAATAATAGTACTAATACTAAATACTAATAATAGGTAAAATAGAACACCGTTTATGACCTCATTTTACTATATAATACATTTTAAATGTTTATTTGCCGGTAACATTAAATAAGGGACTTTTCTGTGGGACAATAGTTTCTAGAAAATAAAGTAGTATAACCTTACAGTATGTAGTGGAATAATTAAACCAGCTGCCTTTATTTGTTGATGGTCACCAGGGGGCACATTTGATTACCTGAAGGGCTTTTGGAGGGCTTTTATTTTGAAAAATCCTTGCACCGGGACTGTCGCCCCTTACTTCCGCTAAGCTTGTCAGTGGGAATGACACTGATGTAAGTTAACTGAGGCAGTCTGTTCGGGCTTTTAGGTAAATGAACGTGTATCTTTAGTTGCTTATGTCGCTTGGTTTCCAGTCCAGGGTGTAGGATGTGTAGCTAGTTGCTATTTGGGTGTAAAATGTACTGTGAGCTAACCTACAGCTAACGTTAGCGTGCTTCCATAGCAAAACAAAGGGAAACAGAGATATTCATAAGTTAGCTTTTATAGCTTTGACTTAGAAGATGCTTCAGCCGCTTACAGTTTTAGTCTGTTTAGTTTCGAACAATACAATTAGAAATGAAGTTTCTCTAACGATGAATCGCGTTACAAGTTTCAGCTGTAAAGATATTTATTGACACATATATATATATATATATATATATATATATCTGCACGGGTCTGGGTATTGTAGGCAAGTTTATTTTGCATTTTGGAAGCTATGATAACTAAAACTCCCTGATCTGTAACAATATAACAATAATAATAATAATAGTAATTTTTCATTGATCTCAACCTCTTTCAGTCGGGTACACAAGATCCGCTGGAAGTAAACATTCCTGTCCCTCAAAATAAAACCCCAGCATTATCAGCAGCCATGGAGTCACAAGGTAAGAGAGACTCTTATAAATGTAGTTACATTATTTCTTATGTCACATTGTTACAGCCTGGTTGTGCTCGTGCTGCCTATCCTTGTTGATTTTATTTCATTGGCCATCATCACCTTCGTCATCCTCATCCTCATGATTAGACCCCAGTTGAACTTTCCACATTAAAACACATTTTGTTTTGATAATATTGTAATGCAAATGTTTCTGCTGTCAGTCCTCAGTCACATCCCCAGTTTGTACTGTGGGCCTCATGTGACCTTACAGAGAATTGATGTCAATACAAATGTGCTCCAAATTTTGAATTTAGGCAAAAGAGAGAACTGGCTTCGGATCAGCTGATAACCTGAGTTTAGGTATCTGAATTTGTAGTGGGAGACAAAATGTCGGATTGGTGTTCATTGCCACTCATTTTGTCCTGTCAAATCTTGACATAAGTAAAGCTTGTCAAATCTAGAAGCGAATGGTCTGGTGGTATGGTCGGCATAATAAGTGTTTGTTAGCTTATTACAAAAGAAGCTTCTGGCTTGTTCTTTTTCTTAACTAGGACTTTGACTGAAGTTCTCCAATTCAATATGTAACGACAAACTCCCATCTGAACTTCCCCACAGCAACCCCACAGCCAGTCATGTGTGAGGTCTGTGGGACATACTTTGAGACACGCCGAGGGCTCTCCAGCCATGCTCGCCTCCATCTAAGAAAGCTTGGCGTGACGTTGTCGGAAAGCAGCGGCGCTCCGATCGACCTCCTCTACCAGCTCATCCAGGAGAGAGATGGTTCCCTCCCCGATTTCAAAGCAGACTCCTCTGCATCTGGGTCATCCCCTCTCAAGAAAACGTTCCAGCAGGAGTCTGCGACACCTCCAGAGCCAGAGGTCAGGAGTGCCTCCTACGATGTAGCCAGTACAGTCATGACAACTCCACAGAAGATGGATCAACAGCAGGAATCTCCAGCCAGACTGAAAGAGTCAGCGACCCCTCTCCTCCCCTCATCCCCCTCTGGTCCTAGGCTGGTTGAATCTAGAGCAAGTGAAGGCAGCAGTTCATCCTCCTTAGATCACCAAACCACAACCAAGCCACTGTGGGCCCCGCTCGAAACTGACGCCCCCATCACCTTGGGTATGGCTGAATTCTGAATAGATGTTTTAAAGAAGTGTTTGGAGTATTGAGGGGAGTAACTGGATGTGGTGATTAAATGACTATTCATGTCCGGTAATTATTAGAGTAACATTTTAGTTTTTTATAAAGTTACCCTGATAGCATTGTCTCATTGTGACTGGGTACCTTTTTATTCATCATTTTCTTCAGACACCAAAGATGAGGTCCATGTGTGCCAACTTTGCGGATGTTGGTACGAGACACGAAAAGGCCTGGCCAGTCACGCTCGGGCCCATCTGCGCCACATTGGAATCCCTGACAACGACATCAAGGGCAGCCCTATTGATCTTCTCTACCGGATTATGGAAGAGGAGGATCTCAAGCCCATCAGCAGCAAGCAACAGGAGGAGCTCGCCTCCAACAGTTCCCCTAGATCCTCCTCCAAACGTCCCTCCAATCGCTCTTCCTCTCCATCTGCGTCTCCTCCCAGCAAACAGCCTAAAACGGATTGTACTTGTATTCTGTGCGGGGAGGAGTTTGAGAATCGTAAAGGGCTAGCTTGCCACGCACGCTGTCACCTGCGTCAGCTGGGGGTGACTGACCTGATGGGGAAAACATCTGCCATCGACACCATCCAGGAACTGGTCAGCAGTGGCGTGTTAGAGGCTATACACCCCCCTAAAAGGAACAGTACCGGTTCTTCTGCAGCGCCATCTCTTGCAACCCGGGCTCTGTCTCCAGTTCCAGGCCAATCAAGAACCTCCTTTCCCTCCACACCCCTCTCCCCAGGCCCAGCAAAGTGCACTCCTCAATCTCCTGTTAATAGGGCTCCAAAGGCTAAGAAAGGCTTTCGGCTAGCAGTGGACCCCCTTCATAGGAAGCCCAAGGCTGAACCTGTGGAGTTTGAAGTGTCTGTTCAACCAAAGGAACCCAGCACAAACACCAGCTCTCCCACGCCGAAATCACCTGCTGCTGTGGGTTTAAAGCTTCTCAATGCAGGTAAAGCATAGAGCCGTTAATACTAGCTTATTTGGTACCTTATTATGTCATTATACTCCAGTTGAGTTATTTACCAATATACCTCATATTTTGTGCATGTATTAGTGTTGTTGCTTGTGTATGTACACCAAAGTTTGAATGTAAAATTTTAAGTCCACCTCCCCTATTTCTCAGAGTCCTCCACAGATGTACAATCCCCGCCAACAGTCCTTTGCGATTATTGTGGCCAGCTGTTTGACACCCGCAAAGCCCTGTCATGCCACGCCCGTGCCCATCTGCGCCAGCTCGGCCTCACCTGGTCCATCAAAACCTCACCAATAGATCTCCTCAAAGAGGTCATGATGCATGGTGAAGAAGGCATGAAAGAGTCCGTGGCCAGTGGGTCTTCAGGCAAAGCCACGTGGACCCCTCAAGGCTCCAGAAGGTCCCTGGACAGTCTCCAGTCAGGGGAACCAGCCACCAAACCCTGCACCTCACCTCTCGATTATTCCACGAAAGAGAAATCCCCATCTGGCAAAAGTGGGGCCTCAAACACAGGTAAGACATTAACGCCACTGTAAAGACTCTTTATGTCAGTTTAACAACCATGTTGTTTTATGATGGTGAGCCACTCTCTTGTACTCTGTGACATGTTTCTTTATGACATGTTCTTTTGCAACAGACAGGGTAGGGAATTTTCTGCTTTTAAGACTTTTACCTCAACAGGAAAACCACACTCTCGCCATTACCCTGCTGTCCCATTCTGCCTGCTTGCACCAAATCCACTAGCACATTTCATGGCAGGTTTTGAAAAACGTTCTGTTTGATGATTTGAAAGGACTCACTGAGGTAGAAGAGGATTAAGCAGGTTCAACACATGAGAATATACCACAAATTGCAATTTCACAAAAGTATTCCTGGACCTCACTCAAGTGGTAATACATTCCTAATGTAATGTAAATACTAATTATTTTTTTCCAAAATTGCACATCTTCTTTTTGTCAGACACATCCTGTGAGCTTTGTGGGTTTGATTTTGAAAACCGCAAGGCCCTGGCCAGTCACGCGCGGGCCCACCTCCGACAGCTGGGAATCATTGAGTGGAAGGCAGATGGAGCAACTTCGCCAATTGAACTCCTTAGTGAGTTGATCCGGAGGGACCCAGTCAAGATAGCAGCAATAACCCGACGCTATCGTATGGGAGACCTTTACATCAAGAAGGTGGGCTGTTCTCCAAAATGTGTTTAAAATAACTCCCCATTCAGATTCAGATACAACTTACTGTACATTCATTTTCTCCCAGTCCCAAAGAACTGCTGGTTCGCCCTCCCTGTCCACAGACTCGGACTCTGTGTCTGGCAGCAGCCTGAAGCCTTCGGTGCACCACTATGAGCACAAAATGCGCAGAGAGGTCTCTGGTATGACTGCCGGCTCATCCAGACAATCCCAAGGTCACACACGGTCTACAGCAGCCCACGGCAACCCCGGTGTGCGCTCCCCAAGGGGTGAGAGCTGAAAGAAAGCTGCATACAGATATACTTTTTCTGCATTATCATGACACTCTAATACCTCAATCACTTCCTGTGTGGTTTCAGGGGTCCATCCGCCAAAACATGTCGTGCCTGCACGGGAAGAAAATTCCCAGCAACCATCACGGTCAGGCAGCATCCCCGCTCTGCTGCCAAAGCCCCCACTAACGCCATTGGTCAAACTGGTGGGCAAAGTCTACTCCCTCAAGTGCAGGTGAGTCTATATGATATATAAGTCGTCTGCTAGACGTAAGCCAGGAATGTACGCTCAGATCGACAGCACCTTAGACAGCTAGGCCTCATGGACGCCCCTCTGAAATCTTTCGTGTCTTACTAAAATGCTTTCTGTTCATAACCACATGGCAAGTAGCAGCCTGCAAGCGTGGAATCCTTTACAAAACTATTGCTCAAAGAGATCCCAAACTTTCCACACATGCTAAATATGCCAGGCCGAATTTTGTGGGAAACTGAATATGTCACCCAGATAGCTTCAGTGAAGAGTTGGACCATGAAGGTCCAGAATATACATATGTGACACTGTCATACCGTGTGGGATTAGATGATTTTAACAACTTTAAAGGTAAGTGGGGAAAAAAAGGGAACAACTCTATGTTCAGGGGATACATTTTGACATCAAAGCTATGAATCATAATTAATAATCATTATTAACACTGAATATGTCTATGTTGCCCATCCGTACATGTGACGCACTTTGTTTAATCACATTATTCTGAACTTATTGTACCTCATTTAATGCAGTTTTGATCACACTCTCCTCTCTGTGCTGCTATTCAGGTTCTGTGAAGAGGTGTTTCATGGACCTCTGTCTGTTCAGGAGCAGTGGATCACACACCTGCAGAAACACATTCTGTCCCTGGGCTACAAAGGCAAAGCATCTCCTCCTGCAGCACCAGTGGCAGCACCAGTGGCAACTCCAGCCCTCGTCCATCCGGTAGCTGTCTAGTCCACAAAATCTGTCTGTAATTAAACAAGGTCATCATTGTCAAACGTCATGTCAGAGTTGAGAAGTGTCGTCTTGATGTCGGAGGTCACAAATTTACAGAGAAGTGCAAATTAGATGTTTCCCTTTTGCCCTAGAGAGGGCAGCCATGAGCCATATGAGGAAAGCAGCAGAATGTAATCCACTCAGGTAAAACCCACAAGATACAATAGATCCCAATACTGATCACTGGATGTTTTTGTCAAAAAACAAAAGATAATTCATTCCTCATTTTGATGATCAGTGCTTTCCTGCTCATGCTCATAATTTGTACAGATGTTAAATGTGTTTGGGTATGACTTGATGTTGGCATGTACCAGTAAACGATTTTCTCTTTGTTTTTGTCCTACTGAGTAGACTGGTATGGTTGCTGTATCACTGTGATACACTTTCTCTCCTCTGTATGCCTTCCTATTGAATGGAGTCTTTAATTATCTAATTATTTTTTTAAAGTGTTTTACTATAAATCTGGAAGGATCATTTTTCTCAAATGCAAATGTTTTTGAATAACACAACACTGACACCAGAAAGTTAGACACAGATTTTCTTTCAAACTGGTGACAACTTGATACGAAGTATAATGTAATGTCTTAAGAATCAACCACCTTGACCCTAGATACACTGTGTTTCCTTTCTTGGCATTTTCTTCAGGTATAACTACTAATCATGACTGTTTTTCTGGTCTTTTTACATTTCTTTTATAACACTTATTATGTAAATTAAATACTGTCTTGTATATAACCATATAGTGTCTGAAACATGTTTTTATTTCTTTACAAATTCCATTAAAACGCTAATTAATGGACACACAACCTGCACTTCACTAACAGCGTCAGTACTCACTGTAAGAAAATACTGTTTGTCCACATTGTCAAAAGATTTACATATCTTAACAGTTCTGAATACTATCCAATATAAATTCATGTCTCAATACACCCACATTTATTTTTGTATTTTCTCATTTACATCTCATTTCGTTTTGCTGTGTTTGCTATCCTCTAAACATTTTAACATTTTAAAGACATTTTTGAGATCTCACTGTAGCTGGCACCGCTCCTGGACATTTCTTTGATGTTGTGAGGTCTCAGATTTTATTTTTTAGGGGTATTTTATGCCTTTGTTAAAGACTGTACAGTAGAGAAATTACAGGAAATGAGGGGAGAGTGAAAGATGGGGAAAGCCCAGGCCAAAAGGGCGCCCTGTCATATTTTAATATTGTTTAGCTTTGAGGTCTTAAAAGCCTTTGTAGTTGTGTCACACTCACCACTGGCTTCTCCTATGCTCCTAGTGGCATTTACAAGAATCCACCGCACCTGAGAGCCAAGGAAGATAGTTGATGTGTCTCATTCCCAGGTCGTCAAATACCCACTCATAAATGACAAATGCCATTAGGAGCACTCGGAGGAGCCAGAGGAACCTGAACTTTCTGTCTCATGTACTCCTGTCAGGATATAGTGAAAACTTTAGCAAATATGACAAAAAGTTTTATAAAAGTGATCTACTGCAGCTTTGTGTAACAATTTGAATTTAGAAATTGAATAGCTTGTTTTGTCATAAAACTCATTTTTCATGCACAAATAAGAAGAACATCATTCATTTTCTTTTAACAATTTATTTCCAATCACAATATGTCAGCCATCTGCACAGTGAAGAAAAAAAACTAGCAAATGTTGGCAAATGTTGGTTGAGAAAAACATTCACTGTTAGTGTGAGTATATCTATAATGTTACATAACTGACCACTTAGGCGAAAACACTGTTGTCCATCATTCCATTTTCAAATTCTTCTCATCTAAAACCTCATCATTGTTGTGTCTCAGGCTTGTTTAACATTTCAAGCTTTCACGCTTCAGTCAGCCAGAATGTAATTTGCTCTCTTGTAAGTGAGTAAAGGAGTTTGTATTGTGTCCACTGGGAACATTTCTCTACGGTCTTCCATGCAGATTGTTTCTTTTCTGATGGAGCCTAGTAGTTTTTTAAAAACGGTTCTGTTGTTACACACTGTGTACACATTCCTTGAAACATTAAGACTTGGTGTTCACTCCCCGCCATTGTGTACCGTAGCAGTATCTCCCCTTTGTTAAAAACAAATGTCATGCTCGCTGTGATAGAAAAGTTTCACAGAGCACTGTAAAATGTGGAAATCGGGAAGAGAAAAGCTGCATGTTTAGCATCCGTGCTTTTCATGTTGTTCTTGTAAACCAGGACCTCATCAACACAAGTGTGGGTTTCTGTACTCCTCAAGATGTTTCTATTTTCTGGACACCAGCTTGTTGATAAGTGTGTGCCAGCAGTCTTTCAGTTTTTTCTCTGTCGGTAAATATCTGACCTCATAGCAAAACCAAACCCCTAGTGTCCATTATGTTCATAGTGCGTCTCTTGATTTGATTTTTTCCACTTTCCAGGGCTATCAATGTGTTGATAGGGGGTCATCAATCTTACTACCTGTACAGCTTCTGCAGTGGGTCCTCCACCCGTTATTGAGTGTGAATCTCTCAGCTAGAGGAACGGGAAAGGTTTATTTGGAAATCTTTGCACAGACCTGTAGAATAATCTGCCTTTTGTGTCTGCTCAGAGTCTCTCAGAATGTGATATAGTTTTTACATCCTCACGAGCTGGGAAATTGCAAAAAACATTATTATTATTCAAATGTCTGTGTTACTATGCATGTCCACGAATAGCCTACCAGATGGGATTAAATTCAAATCTAATCTGAAGTGTCTCTCACACTTCATTCTCTCCACCTTGTTTTTCAGATAAGAAAAAAGGTGTATTAAATCTTGTGGTTATTAGTATATTGACAGGTTTCTGGATGGACCCTGTGTTATGCTGTGAAGATGAGAAAACACCTCACAGGAGAGGGTAAGAGGATGATCTATAGTATATACCGATCAGCCATAACATTATGACCCCATACACCAG